GTGGACCTCCTCTGCCGTGGGGCGCTGCTCGGGCTGCAGCCAGCAGAACTGCATCACCTCGTACCTGCCGCGGCGCGGAGCCCACGGTCAGCACCGGCCGCGGCCCTCGTGCCCATTGGGGCCGTGCAAGACCTTGTGCTTGGGCACCTGCAAGACCTCCCGCATGGCCACCTGCGAGAACCCCTGCATGATCCCCCAGCAAGACCCCCACACACACAACCACCTGCAAGACCCAGGGCTTGGCCATCTACAGAAGCCCAATGAATGATCACATGCAAGACCATCTGCACGGCCACCTGCTAGAGCCCATGGAAATGGCCACCTGCAAGGCCATCATGCTTGATAGCACCAGCAAGACCTCGCCATGCAAGAGTACCTGCAAGATCTCCTGCGTGGCCACCTACAAGACCCCACATACACAACCACCTGCAAGACCCAGTGCTAGGCCGTCTGCAAGACCCCCATTCATGAGCACCTGCAAGACCCCAAGTTTGGCCACCTGCACCACCCCCTGCAAGATCCTCATGCACGTGGCCGTGACGCCGGCTCTGGCAATGACCCCAGCATGGGGATGGCAGGGGACGGGCTCCTCACCAGCGCTCCGACAGCGTCAGCTTCAGCTGGGGCTTGGGCAGCTTGAGCTGCTGCTCCTTGATGGCGTAGGCGAGCACTTGCCGGTCGGAGTAGTGGTCGTAGGGCTGGTTACCCAGCTCAAAGAGCTCCCAGATGGTGACACCCAGCGACCTGCAGAGCAAGGAGGAGCCCTTTACATCCCCATAGCAGCTGCTGGCCTCAGGACTGCTCCACCACGATGTCTCCTGGTGCTGCCCACCGCTCTCGCCTGCTCCCCAGGGCAGAGCCCACGTCCTTGAACATCGCAGCCGCCTCCACTCCAGCCCACCCTGTGCCTGTGCCTCTGCTCACCAGACGTTGCTGGATTTGGTTTGGTCGACGATGAGCGGGTTGCCGTGGACCTCGTCGATGAGCTCGGGCGCGATCCAGCGCAGCGGCACCCACAGCTGGTCGGCCGTCACGAAGTAGTCGTCCTGCCAAGTATGCAGGGTCAGTACGAGAAGAGAATGTCCACCCTTCCTCCTCCCTGCCCCTTCCCACCGTCTCCTCCTCCTAAGCCCCCTCTGGGCCCGCAGCCTCTTCCCCCATCCCTCCAATGCTCCAGCATGCCAGGAGCTGCATGTAGGGACATGTTCCTGGCACGGAGAGGCACCACGGGGCTGCCCCACGCTCTGCTGCACCGCAGGGCGGGCACCGCCTGCACGAGGAAAAGCCCAGGGAGCTGCCAGGAGCATCGGCACCCACTGCGCCGGGTCAGGGAGGGCGGCCGGGAAGGGCCAGCGCTGGCCAGGGCCACCGCAGGGTGGCCCAAAGGCTCCACAGGGCCTGATCGGACGGGCAGGAATAAAGTGGTGCCCGGGCAAAGCCCATGAATAGAAGGGGCTTGACTTTGTGGGAAGGGGAAAAGGGGAAAAGGGGAAAAGGGGAAAAGGGGAAAAAGGGAAAAGGGAAGGGAGAGAGAAAGGGGAGGGGAAGGAAGAGTGCAATGCAACGTGCATGGCTGTGGGCTTTGTGCGTGTGCATGTGTGTGTGCAATGCAGATCTGTGCAGGGCTGTGGGCAGTGTGTGTGTGTGTGTGTGTGTGTGTGTGTGCAATGCAGATCCATGCTCAGCCATGGGCCTTGTGTGTGTGTGTGTGCAATGCAGATCTGTGCAGGGCCGTGGGCAGTGTGTGTGTGTGTGTGTGTGTGTGTGTGTGCAATGCAGATCCATGCTCAGCCATGGGCCTTGTGTGTGTGTGTGTGCAATGCAGATCTGTGCAGGGCCGTGGGCAGTGTGTGTGTGTGTGTGTGTGTGTGTGTGTGCAATGCAGATCCATGCTCAGCCATGGGCCTTGTGTGTGTGTGTGTGCAATGCAGATCTGTGCAGGGCCGTGGGCAGTGTGTGTGTGTGTGTGTGTGTGTGTGTGTGCAATGCAGATCCATGCTCAGCCATGGGCCTTGTGTGTGTGTGTGTGCAATGCAGATCTGTGCAGGGCCGTGGGCAGTGTGTGTGTGTGTGTGTGTGTGTGTGTGTGCAATGCAGATCCATGCTCAGCCATGGGCCTTGTGTGTGTGTGTGTGCAATGCAGATCTGTGCAGGGCCGTGGGCAGTGTGTGTGTGTGTGTGTGTGTGTGTGTGTGCAATGCAGATCCATGCTCAGCCATGGGCCTTGTGTGTGTGTGTGTGCAATGCAGATCTGTGCAGGGCCGTGGGCAGTGTGTGTGTGTGTGTGTGTGTGTGTGTGTGCAATGCAGATCCATGCTCAGCCATGGGCCTTGTGTGTGTGTGTGTGCAATGCAGATCTGTGCAGGGCCGTGGGCAGTGTGTGTGTGTGTGTGTGTGTGTGTGTGTGCAATGCAGATCCATGCTCAGCCATGGGCCTTGTGTGTGTGTGTGTGCAATGCAGATCTGTGCAGGGCCGTGGGCAGTGTGTGTGTGTGTGTGTGTGTGTGTGTGTGCAATGCAGATCCATGCTCAGCCATGGGCCTTGTGTGTGTGTGTGTGCAATGCAGATCTGTGCAGGGCCGTGGGCAGTGTGTGTGTGTGTGTGTGTGTGTGTGTGTGCAATGCAGATCCATGCTCAGCCATGGGCCTTGTGTGTGTGTGTGTGCAATGCAGATCTGTGCAGGGCCGTGGGCAGTGTGTGTGTGTGTGTGTGTGTGTGTGTGTGCAATGCAGATCCATGCTCAGCCATGGGCCTTGTGTGTGTGTGTGTGCAATGCAGATCTGTGCAGGGCCGTGGGCAGTGTGTGTGTGTGTGTGTGTGTGTGTGTGTGCAATGCAGATCCATGCTCAGCCATGGGCCTTGTGTGTGTGTGTGTGCAATGCAGATCTGTGCAGGGCCGTGGGCAGTGTGTGTGTGTGTGTGTGTGTGTGTGTGGCCTGCGGGGTGCACGGGACTCACCAGTGGGCAGAACTCCATGACCAGCAGGTACGGGGTGACCTCGGCGCACTGGGCCAGGCACTGCAGCAGGTTGGTGTGCTGGAGAGCCCTGGGGGGGAACAGAGCAGCACCGCACATTGGGGACCACAAGCTGGGGACCACATGCTGGGGACCGCGGTGGAGATGGCACCACCAGGAGATCTTCCCATCGCCCTGGACCGCAGGGAGCGCCGGGAGCACCCAGGGACGGTACCACCACGTCCCAGCGCCCGCCACAATGGGACGCTTGTCCAGAGCTGGCGGGGGGGGCACCCCCCCGCACCCCTGACCTCACTGGCA